AAGAATTCGGTGGTTTAGTGGAGCCCCATAGCTCAACTCCATAAGTCCAAATAGGTCTTATTATAGTCAAGTATATGAGTCTTTTGTAATTAATGGGAAGTTTAGAGCGTTTGTCTAGTAAGTGCTGAAGTAATCGGAAACGTCGAGCGGCTTCTTGTCGTTTCTGGAGTATGAGGATTCCAAGTTAGTCGCTTGTCCAGGTGAAGTCCTAGGTATCGGATTTGCTCAACAGGGATAAGTGGAGTATTGTTAAAGGAAACTGTAGGACAGGTAGTCGTTGGTTTACGACGATATTAAACTAACATTTTGAATTACACATCTTATTTTTGATAGAAACTGTACTTTCATCATGAGGTTTATGTCAATTACTATAAAAGCCCAACGCTTGGAATAAATATTCTAAAAAATATTCAGAACGCGAACAAAATTAACTCGATTACTTCTAGTAAGTTGTGGATTGTTAACCTCAATTATACTCTCTCAATAACCAACATAAAATAATTGTAAATAGTTGTGGTACAACATATTTTATTTTATTTTTATTAGCTACCAGTTATGGCCAAAAAAAAAAGATAAAATAAGTTACTTTTGATTTTTTTTTTTTCATCTGATTACAGTCTATACTTCCTTTTTTTCCGGCGCTCAGGAGTGATGGACATTGCTGAATGAGATAACAAACTGAAGAGAATTTTAAGAAGTGACAAATCTAATTTTTGATCCTTTAACTTTCATAATACCTAAACAAATATGAAATAATTTATTATTAACTAAAGAATAAATAAGAGATCGTAACGGATAATAGAGTAATGGAGGAACAGGAATAGAGGAATCAAAGGAATACGATTTTTCCCGAAAGATTACAACAGGCTTCGATACGTAACATGAGCTTCATATAATAAGGACTCCGAAAATATTATGTTCATATACATATGCGGTTTTCATAAATGCTATCGTTGTTATTATTTAATATTTCATTGTATAGAATACAGCTATATAAATTGGTATATATAAGGATATTTAAACAAATAAATACACCCACAATGAATTGTAAATAAATATAGCGTCAATAATTTTTACTTTCACTTCCCCTTTGTCTAAAAATAATTATTTCTGATAAGAAAAGGGTGATAAGTGAAAGTCCTGTAATGCGCGCACCAGATTTTTTTAATAATATTCCTATTAATGGTTGTCTTCGACGATCTACAAAACAATTAAATATCGGTCATCCCCCAAAAACTCATTATCTAAGCATCTCTAGAAGAAATTCATTATAATCAATTTGAAAGAGCAAGAAATATCCCGTGTAAATTGTATAAACTCGTTAGTATATGAGAAGGTTATAGTCCGTGATACAGACATCTTTTAATTGAATTATTAACATCCGCCTGAAACTTTGTAAATAGTTTTATCTCATCGTAGCCTACAACTATTATATTTAAGAAAACTCTTGGAATTGGGGCGTTTTTAATCTGGAGGGGGACAAACTTTGTCTTTTTAATGAGTTAATACACATTTGTTCTCTACTTGGATTGTAAGATAAATTGATTATAATGTCGAGAAAAGAGGTGTCCTTCAAAAATATTGAGCCGCTTGGCGTGACCTACCTCTCAAATTTACAAAATAACGAGGTTATATAGGACAAATGGCTTAATATATTTGTAGGCCACCTTTTTTATCGATATTGCGACCAATTTATCTTACGATCCAAGTGGAAAGCAAATGGCTATTTACGAACTTTTAGTACCTAATTAAATAGACAATGTTTGCCCCCCTCCAGTTGAAAACACCCCAATTTCAAGAGTTTTCGTAAATAAAATAGTTGTAGGTTACGATGAGATGAAACTATTTATGAAGTTCCAGGTGGATGTTAATAATTCGATAAAACGTGGGCTGTACCACGGACTATAAATGAAGGATAAGAGCTGTATGACCCCTTGGACAATTTGGAAAGTATATAAACTTTTTGATATTTTTAATTTTAAAAATATATTTTCAGGATGTGGCTTCTATATTCTCAGCAACGGACTTTGTAATTGAGATAACCATAGACCAAGGATCTTTATGCATCGATCAAAGCTGTCTTTATGGATTAATACAATGGATTAGAGTAAATACAGGAATAGCGGTGTCTTCAAGCAAAACTATTCAACAAGAAAGATATTTTTCAGTGGGACAAGCTAATCAATCATTTATCAACACAAAGAGTACAAACCATCATATTTTTTACGACGACCTTAAATAAAAGAAGGTACTACCGTAAACATGACTCTTAGATACTTGGCCTTCAGTATCTTTTCACGTTTGGCAAAGGATAGTCTTGACATAGTTTGGTGTGTAAATTTAAGCGTGTACTTCTTGGATTATTACTCTCTCATAATTTTAAAGAAAATTTATGAAGTCGTTACTCGAAATTTTGAAACAACTGGATGATAACTAGCGATATTGAAGGCTCTGATAGCGAACTGTCTGACAACTTATTAGTAGATGACTTAGTATACAGAGAAAGTGAAGGGAAACGCTTTGAAATTGCAGAAGGAGGCCCAGTTTTGACGAATGTGACATTGAAATGTCTCGTCCTAGAAAACGTACTAAACGATTACCGTCATCTTCTTTAACTACTTCCCCCGAAATAGCTGTTAGTCCAGATCAAAAACTGCTGGAGGATAAAAATAAATATACCAATGTACCGAAAAAAAACTGTCACTATGAGGTAATTAATGGATGTCGTTGGTCTTCGGCGTCACAGAAAAAGACGGCTCAACACTACAAGGTCTTATTGTTCACAAAAATCAAACCCTAGTGAGAGAAAGGCTTCTAGCCTAAAGGAGGCATTCTCATTATATTTTAATGAAGTTACAATGGAATATATAGTGAAACACACAAATTCAGAAATCCAGAAGAATCGATAGAAGCTCTAGAATCTATCTGCAACTCACAATGATTTGTGTGATGAAGAACTAAATATACATATATATTTGTACTATATTTATACATTTTGTGAATTATTCTAACTTAATAAACAATTGGTTTAACAAATCTTTTCTTATTTCTTTTGAAAAACAGTTAAAAAAATGTTATTTTTAATTCATAAAATTTAGGAACATTTATTTTTAAGGTATATTGAAAAACCTTTGTGGTCTAGCGTTAAGTAAATTGTTACTTAATGATTTGTGGTAAAATGTGAAGCTTGTCCGATTGTGGATGTTGAATAATAAATTATTCTTATAATATTATTATTATTACTATATACTAAGAAATATGTTTCACACCGATCTCGGTTATACGTTTAATGCATTAGGATAGCTATTATAAAACTTGCAATTATAATTGAATTTCATAATTATATTGATAATTAATAACAATTCTATGAATAATAAATAATTCTATAAGTAAAAATAGTGATTAATTAATTCTTACTTTTTTTTTCAGAAACGATACACTTACGAGTATGTTTGATTTTTAGTTTACTTTTGATGATGTATTTTAGGCCTTTATAAAACGTCGATATGGACAAGATCAAATCATTCCTATGAGTCAAGTTCTATTAGAAAAACATTTTTACATCGATACAAAATAAAATATAAAAATCTATAAGTTCAATTATATCACCAAAAGTAATTTACAAACGCTGTAATTTTTTAATTTCTACTCTGTAGATATAGATAAAGTAAAATTATTTAAATACAAATTAAATTATTTATATCAAGAAAAGATTTGAAGAACGCTCAGCGACCCAATTTTTTTTTTTTTTTTACAAGGAATGTTCATAAAGTCATTTCAGAAAAGGTAAATGTTATTTTAGGTTGATAATATAAAAGGTAAATTATATATTACATGGATTGAACAGTAATATTTCCTAAAATTGAAGCTTGTTACAGCATTTTATTTATATGAAATTGTACCTATATACAATTTTGTAATTAAATTTCATATCACGTTTATTTAAATAAAAAATCAATATCATATGTCTGATTTATGTTATGCATAAAATAAATTATGAAAACCGAAAGATTGGACAGATATTAACTTATATTTCTTGTGTCATTATATGTATTGTTTTTTCAAGAAACAATAAACTGTATTAAGAACAATGCTGTGTTAAAAGTATATATATGGAATATTCATTTAATGAAAAGGCAAAACGTTAGCAATGGAATTCTGTAGCCCTTTGATATGAAACAATGGAATTATTTTCAACTAAGATAAAGCATGGTTGGTTATTCGCATTTCATTTATTACAAAGACAAATTATTATATTAATTATATAGTAAATTGAAAAATTAATTATTCAGATTTTCATTTGTTCAATGTTTCATAAAATATTCGCTGAAAATCGATATTTATATTTCTAAAATAAAAACGTGTAGTTTATTTGTTATATATTCAATCGTTGATGGCCGGTTTTACTGTAATAGTTTAAAAATTTAATTTTAATTTTAAAAAAAGTTCAAAACAAAATTACTAAAAATAAAATATTCTGATAATTTATCTTTCCGCTATATCAAGCCACTGAATAATTTTAAATAGTTTAATAATCCTTATATTATCGAAGCTACGAACATACACAATTTAAACGTCAGCTTTATCTAGAAAAATGACTAACATGAGTTAAAATTCATTTTTAATTAATTACCTGGTGTTTCGAAATTAAAATACTAATATTCTCTATATAGTTAATAACATATCATTCGATCTATATCTTGGTGTTAATATCATTTAACGTTTTATATAACCCTCATTCATCGGTCCATTGGACGTCAATTTCTTTGGCAAAGTTTCGAAGCGAAATATCCATGAAATCTTTCAATTAAATGAAAATATTGCGTTTAATATGAAACATGCAGAAAAAAACGACAATTGTGAAGGACCGCACGACCCCCAAGCCATTACGCAATGTGCAATGACACGGCGGCAGCCAATCGAACGTATCCATGGTTGAGCCATTTCGCCACAATCTGACTATATAGGCAGCCGGTGGGTGGTATCGGGGTCTATTCGGGATGTTGCTACGGAAAGTATTGGTGCTAGCAGTTGTAGTGGTGGCGGTGAGCGCCCAGCTTGGCGAATACGACGAGCACGGCCAAGCAGGCCATCTTGGATACGCGGATGGGCCGATCGGTGGCCTCGCCGACCACGGGGTAGCTCAGGACCATCACAAAGGACATCACTGGAGCAAGGGAGGTGGGGAATCCCACAAGGGACACCATCACGAGTCACATGGCAGCAAAGGTGGCAAGGGACACAAAGAACACCATGGTTACCATCACGGAAAGAAAGGTCACCACGACAAAGACCATCACGCAGGAGGCTATGCTGACCACGGAGGCCACAAACACAAGCACCACGATGAGGGAGGATATCATGCCGAGCACCATAAAGGCGAGCATGGTCATCATGGTCACAAATACGAGGAGCACGGCAAGTTCGGTAAAGGACACAGCACAAAAGGAGAACATGTCGTACACAAGTTGGACGAGTACAAAAAGAAGAAAGAATTTTACGACGAAGACCATGATGAACACCATCACCACAAGCACGGAGGACACCACGAGGATCACGCTCACAAGAAGGGAGGGCACCACAAGAAGGGACATCACCACGCAGGGCACTCTGAGGACCACAAAGGCAAGAAAGGCCACGAACACCATGGACATCATCACCACCAACACGCTGGGCACAAGAAGGAAGATGGGCATTCGGAGAAGTATGGACATCACCATGAGCACGGAAAGAAGGGAGCCAAAGAAGACCACAAGAAGTGGGGATTCAGCCACCACGGCAAGGGCCACCACTGACCACCAGGATTTATGATTCCAAATGATGTAAACTAGTCGAAACGGTACTGTTAACTCTTGTGTATGTATAAGTGTTGTGCGTGTTTGTGTCTGTGTGAGTGTACAAATATCTACTTAACGGTTATGTTTGTTACTTCGTTTTTATAGATTTGTAAATTTATACGGTGTACAAAATTCATGTTTTTATAATATTCCTTCATTCATTTTTATTATCTGCTATAAACTTGCTTCTTTGCTTACTTTTGTACTGTGAAAACGTATATATTATATTACGTGTGTAAATCAACAAAAATGAATAATATTTATTTAAAGTAGCCTTATTTTTAAATTCCATCCTCCTATTCCTTACACAATAAAAATTGTTGAGTATCATTTAAACTTGTTGAAATTACATAGGAGCAGTGAAGAACTGCTGATATGATTTGCAGTTGATTACACTTTTCTATATATTAACATTAAGTGATAAATAAAATTAGCAACAGTAAATATGAAAAATTGTTGCTGCTTCCATTACCGCTACCAAACGTTACTGCGGCCTTTAATGGTAAAAAGGTTCTTCATCTATGACATTAACCCATGTTCAATCAAAACATCAAGCATCCAAAACCAATATCAGAATGTACTTTTATGTTTGATCTTATATTCCAGAGAGTAGAACAAAAATTATTTTATGGATTTTTATAATTATAGAGAGTTTTCTATCACTTAGTAACCACAATTTGAGAATCTAAAGTAAAAAAGAAATAAAAACACATTTCAAATATTTTTAAATAATCCTTCAACAAACGGATATTTTTTTCAATATATTTGAAAAATATTTGAAGAGTTCAAGATGTTACTGTATAATTTTGATATTTATATTTTCTAATTTTGATATATCTATTTCAAGTGGTCGGGAGACCCTCCTGTGGCTCACCCAGCCTTCATAAAGTAGTTATTCTTAATTAAATAATCAATTATTAGGAATAACCTGGTGTTTGAGCACGATTTGACCGTATGACCTCCTTCCACTGGCCTAGGCCAATAAACAACGCTTCCTTACCAAGTACTGAAACCCAGAATCTACATGGCTTGCAGATTAACTGTTTTTTTTTTTTTAATCTTGAGTTAAATTAGTGTCAAATTAAAAGATATTCATAATTTCAATTACCGAATCATATGATATAAACTATAGAAGCTCATGTTACTAATATTTCTACTAAAAATCTCTGATTTTTACTTTGATTGAATGGGGAGTACAAGACTAGGAATCGCATCAAACGATGATCTAATTTAATCATAAATAAGAAAGACAATATTAATAAATTTGGAATATGATATTTTATTAATAACATTTTTTTCTTTTTTGTTTGCTTCTTCTTATTTTTTTTGCAGTTTTTTCAATGCACCGAATTAATTACCCTGGCAGAAGTAGCATCGTTGTCGAAAAATGTCTTTTATTTATAAACTTTATTTCCAATACGGCGATTTTGATGAAACATGCCTATATTCTGTCCTTACTGTCCTCTGACTGTCCTGACTGTACTGGGTCGAATACATCCTCAGAAAAAAACAGGACAGAGTTATGAAGAATATATATACATTTTTATGTTTTTTATTTTTTTTTATGTTTTTACGTCCCCACCTGGTATAAATGTGACTGTCAGCGGTTATGTGAATATTACAAAAATGAAAACTTTAGGCCCGCCGCAATTGAGCGCAGGGCAGGCGCAGCACAGAGGGCACCAGTATGTGCCTATTCCCGATTAAAACTAACAAGTTATTTAAATAAGTATTTATTTAAACCTTCAAATAAATACTTTTATTAAAATGCTTAACTTCAATAAATAAAATTATATGCACAAAGTCGATTGTATTTCTTATTTAACAAATACTTTTGTATAGTTGAAAATGCTAAGTAATAATAATATTATTTCGTGTACCTACTATCAAATCAACCACGTTATTATTAATAAGAAAATATTTATTTCATTTAAAATCTCTTCTATATTTCGGTCCATGTTGTGATATTCGAAGATAGTCTCTGGCATATCAATTTGTACTTCGTTAATTTCAACTTTGCAGATTTCTTCGATTTAAGGGTCTGTTATTACGTTAATGGAGGCGTAGTTTTTGAAAACTCTATCGATTTTACGATTACTCCTTCCCTTATCTACTGTGTTACTTGTTTAGCATAAATTATTTTGTGATTTATTATTAATTATATTATATATCCCTTCACGCCCAGTTGTATAATAAAAGGCCTCTGGCCACAGATGCAAAGTACGCATACAGCGTGCATAGCCCTCTTACCTTAAAATGCCCTTGGGCAATAAAAGGAAATTTAAAAAAATCATGTATATATACATTTATATATTGTACTTTGTAATAAAGAAATTTCTGGGGGTAGAAAAAAAAAATATATATATACATCCATTTTATTTCCAACATCTTATAAATTAGAATTTGTTTTATTTTCACTATTAAAGTGTTATTAGTAATTGTTGCATTAATACTTCTTTCTTTTTATTTCCATGGTGTTACAAAATTGATGTTGAAAATATATCCAACTTCAATTTTTAATAATTTAATAGTTTCATTTAATTTAACATTAATAATGTAAGATTCTCTTAATCATACACAGTCATATAAGAGAACAAATCCTGTACATTAAAATAATAAATAATCACATAATCGGCATCTATTTTAATAATTTGTGTCACAGTTTAGCCTAGTGATAAAAAATGTAATTGCTGTGTTTAGTAATGCTTTTAGTAAAAATAATACAAAATATAAAGATAACTTGAAATAAAAAACAACTATAAGACAAGAAGTATAATTTATTCGATTCTATCAGATCCTCCGGAAATTTCACTCCTTCGTACCCTCCATCATCATACAAATTTCTGTATTTTTCATTCATTTTTCATCATGCATTTTGTCAACAGGTGGATCAAGTAAAGAAGTTCCATCCATTTTTTTAACCATTTGGAGATAAGCTAAAAAGAAAACCGAGGTTGAATTATTTTCCTACTTTTCATCTCAGAATACTTGAGGAAAGGAACACGAGATAGCGAAGGTAGGAACAGAGGACATAGGAAACTGTTGTGAACACAGTAGGTCAGAGGGGCAACAAAACTGCCATGACGGCCCTGCCCAGACTGGGTCGGCTCTGAACTTTTTTGCCCCGTTGAGGTGAAGGAACAGTAGCTTAGCTTCCAGATATATCGGGACAAGGCACATAATTGCTAGATTCAATTTATTAAGACGTCTCTGAACTAGGTCCTATGTCCCTCCTTTATTACAAAACTGCCATAACTGTGCTGCGCCTGCCCTGCGCTCAATTTGCGGCCGGCCTTATCATTGATATCACAGTTTGAAACTTTGCAAAATTGTCTAATTAATGAAATAAATCATTAAAAATAATTTCTAAAGGAAGCATCGGTTTTGGTGGCAGTTATTGATTTAATTTACATTTGAATCATACCATTATACTTTAATAAAATTATAAATTTTTTTAAAGCAATATAATCTAGCATATATTCCTAATATAAAAAAAAGGCTTAACAAATTGCTGAAATAGATGATAAATCACACTATGATAATGCTGTTTTAAACCAAAAATCCTTTATTTGTTTAATTATTTCCTGTGTATTGATGTATAGTACTTTTAATTCTAGGTTAATTTTTGTAATGTATTTCTTTTACAATAAAACATGCTTAACTACACTAATAACTACTAAATTAGCATGTACAAAATTATAGCTATAATTTTAATCTTTTTCAAATATTAAATATTTCAAAATGTAACAACCATAAAATATAATATCAGATCAGGTACAATTAAATTTAAAAAAAAAGTCTATGTTAGATGTAATGTAAGTCTATTATCTAATGCCAATAATAGAGAATAAATTTTAGAACCAAAATCAATCTAAAATAAAATAAATTCTTATTAAATAAGTAAGACTATAAATAAGTTGTACTTTGAAAGATTTCTTAATTCCATATATTGCACTGTGGTTATGGAGAACTTCTGTGCATAAAAGAGTTTAAAAAAAAAATAAATTATTAATATATCATATTAATATAACTAAGTTTGAAAAAAATAAAGTCATTCTATAAAGTCTGATAGCTGAAACGTGCTACAAAAAAATACCTTAAAAAATCTAGAAGTGATGCCTGGCCATTTGCCCGAATTCCAAAGAGCTAAAATGTTATTGCCGTTTCCATTATCTTCGCATTCACTATGAACATTTGAATGAAAATTAATCCTTTTTCATTTTTCTTTGAAATACGACTGGCTCGACAGACAATAAATGAAAAGGAGGGTGAGTTTGCCCTCGTTTTTCATAATTTTATATTTTTCGCCGGAGGAACGAAAGATAATACTTTACCAACGCCTCGTCAGAAAGGCGAACCATCTCAGTTAGTATAAATAAGACATCAAAATCCATAATTTCTAAAGCTATTTGAAACTAACTCGAACTTTCTCAATAGAATATTAGTCTAACGTCTATTTGTTACATATTTTCCTCAACTGTAGGAAATCTTATAAAAAAATATTTATATTCGACCTAAATTAATGCAGTGTTTATTTATAAATTAAAAATTAAGCATAAAATGAATACTTAATAAAGTAGTTCATTGCATTTAATAAATTTTATTTAAATTATTATCTAATTACATTGAAATTATGAAAAAATATGTTTTAAAAAAATAAATAAAAAGGGTAAACAGAAAAGCTCATTTGATAAGATAATATTATCCTCTCATTTTTCTTAGCAAAACAGATGAAAAGTGATTAAACAGTTTCAGTAATTGACGTTTTACGGTATCAATAAAATACGTCCAAAGTGAACTATAATAGATTTTTCTGGATATCGAAGTAAGTATCGATGTCTTTTTGAAAACAGTCAATGATTTCGATGGTGAAGTTATTTTATTTTATTTTCAAAAAAAGAACGAAAATGTTTTCAAAAGTGGTGTGAAAATATCTTGCATTTCCAAAACCATAATTT